TGCGTTGAAACTCTCTTATCTAGCATGCAATCTACCGATCGCGCCCTATTCTCTTCCCTGCTCAATGGTACGGGACATGAGTTTCTTGAGGCCATCCCATCTACCAATCTTCAGCTTCAACTATCCAACAATGAATTTACCCACGCCATCGGCATTCGTCTAAATTGTTCCATCACTCACCCTCACATCTGCTCAGGGTGCAACTCGCCAGTTGACTCGAAGGGTAGACATAGTTTACATTGTCGCTCCTGCAATGGACGATTCATCAGACACAAGCAATATAATACAATCATCCAACATGCACTGAAATCCGCCCAAATTCCTTCCACTCTAGAACCACAGGGTCTTTTTAGATCTGACGGTAAACGTCCTGACGGGATCTCTCAAATCCCATGGAGGAGAGGCCAACTTTTGGTATGGGACTATTCCTGTATTGACCCCTTGGCCCCATCCAACCACGCCATCAACATCCTTGACCAGAAGGAACAACTTAAAACTTCTAAATACACAGAAATAATGAACGATCATTGCTTCATCCCAATCATATCAACCACTCTTGGCACCTTCGGCAAACTCGCCTTAGCATTTTTCAAAAACTTAGGATCACAAATCAGCAAACTCTCAGAAGAACCTCGAGAGGGTTCTTTTCTTCGTCAACGATTATCCATAGCGATTCTCAAAGCTAATTATATCAGTTTCAATGGTAGTCTTCTAGCCAAAGAGCTATCCTAGACAACACTTACGTCCCTTTTTCATTTTTGTTTCCCTGCGTCACACCATCTCCGTTCCTTTTTTTTATAGTATTATTATATATTTTTCAAACATTTTTAAATATATTAAAACATAAAATATTATATTTTCGTTTTTTTAATACTTTATATTATTTATTATTTGAAAATTGAAAATAAAGAGAGATAAATTTAAAAAACTAATATACAAAAAATCATCCTAAAAAAATATTATATTTTAAAAATATCATATTATAAAAACATTATATTATATCTAAAAAAAATCGCAAGGTCTAAAAGTCGAAAGGCTTTAGGACTAATTATTTATTCAAACTTTTCTGTTGAAAGGGGGGGGGGGTGTTTTTTTCAAATCCTGCATAAAAATTTTGAACTCTATAATTGTCCCATATATAATATTTCTCTATAAAATCAAGATCTACAAATAATTCTCTACAAAATAATTCTCTACAATGTAATTTTCTACAATATAATTCTCCACAAAATAATTCTCTATAAAAGTAATTCTCTTTAAAATCATTCTCTATAAACAACATTCTCTATAAAATCATTCTCTTTGAAGTCATTCTCTATAAAGGACATTCTCTATAAAATAATTCTCTTTAAAATCATTCTCTATAAATTACATTCTCTATAAAACCATTCTCTATAAACGGCATTCTCTATAAAATCATTCTCTTTAAAGTCATTCTCTATAAAGGACATTCTCTATAAAATAATTCTCTTTAAAATCATTCTCTATAAATTACATTCTCTATAAAACAATTTTCTATAAATGCATTCTCTATAATTGTTTTCTCTATAAATGTTTCTCTATAAAATACATTCTCGAATGATTTTATAGAGAATGTTGTTTATAGAGAATGATTTTAAAGAGAATTACTTTTATAGAGAATTATTTTGTGGAGAATTATATTGTAGAAAATTACATTGTAGAGAATTATTTTGTAGAGAATTATTTGTAGATCTTGATTTTATAGAGAAATATTATATATGGGACAATTATAGAGTTCAAAATTTTTATGCAGGATTTGAAAAAAACACCCCCCCCCCCTTTCAACAGAAAAGTTTGAATAAATAATTAGTCCTAATGATACGAAGAAATTTAAATATAAATGATAATTATACTTGCTTACAACCAGATCTATCTACCAATAATAAAAGGACACTTAACCATTCAAACAATGTTAAACAGGACCTTTTACCACAGGGTAAGGGGTTATAATTCAAGTTAGACATTGAAATTAAAAGGGGTAGTTTGTATTTGGAATTCCGTTATGTTTAACAAGTGCAAAAACCCTATAAAAAACATTTTAAACTTTTTGATTCATCTTTCTCTAAACTGATTAGGAGTTTACGGCTTGTAATAAGAATTTTCATTTTACTAAAATCAATTTAGGTGTATTATTTTAAATTTTGTCGATGTATAATTTTTAGGTAAGAGTTTGAACTATCATTTTGTATTTTGTAAATTCAGATACAACTATTTTCTGACCTATGATGATTTCGACAGAAATTGATCCAACCCAGTGGCGTAGCTACGGGGGTGGTTTTCGAGTTTGGACCCCTCCCAGAGCAAAAATTATTTTTAGATTATACGTTCAAAAGACTTAAAAGTGATTTTATATGAATTATATTTTTCTGTTTTGATGTTTGTGGAAGGATATTATATTACTATTGAAATTATTCTGGCCCCAGCTTTTATATGTATGGACCCCCTCTAAGGAAAATTCCTAGCTACGCCACTGATCCAACCACCCCCTAGTGTTCCTTCCTACCATGTGAATACTAGACAGTACTCTAGTGATCTTAACTTAATTTTGGTAAGGCGATAGTTTGTTGGGTATTGTTTTATTTTTTGTTGTTATTTGCATTTAATATCATTAATTGAGTGCGTTTTTTAAATTTAAAATCTGATTTTGCAAGAAATGCACCTGAATAAGTGTAACATACCCACCCTTAATGTTGCGCAATCGGTTAATTTTAGGCAATTCCAAAACGGTTAGCCAAGTTTTTAGGCCAAAAAATCGGCTAAGCATAATTAGGCTTAGCATAAAAATAGGCGAAAACGAATAGTCAAAAATTAGGCATCGGCTAAGGAGCTCGGTTAATCACTCGTCATATATCGTTACATAATAAATTTATAAAATAATTTTAATAAAGGCTAGGCTTAGTGTTGCATAACGCAGACGGGCGATTAGCCTAGCTCCCAATCCCTACATTTTGTCTAATTAGTTTTAGGCGATTTTTCGGTTAAGCCAAATTAGGTTTAGCTGATTTTTAGGCTACTAACATTACTTATAAATTTCAGATTAATGTAAATTAAAATTTCTTCAGAAGTTCAATATAAAATCTTCTGAAATTTATAGGGTGGGTATTCTACACATATTGGAATGCATTTTCGGCAAAATCAGATTTAAAATTTAATAAAACGCGCTCAATAAAATGCAAAAAATAGAACAAAATACCCATCAAACTATCGCCCTTACCTTAATTTTTACAAAATTATATAGATTTTCATTATAAATTATTAAATACAAAAAATTTTGGCGAAATCGTTGAAATTCCCAGGGTAGATTCTCTTCGGAATAGATTTGGTAAAATCAGATTTATCAGGGAAATTAGAAACGCGCACTATAAATCAGAGACCTACAGGCCCTTTAAATCCGGCCCGGATACACGGACTGGGCTGTATTTTAATTTTTTTAAAATATACCCGGGCCGAGCCTAAAATTTTATTTTTTTAAATGCACGGGCCGGGTCAAAAAAGCTTTTTTTTTAAAAACCCGGGCCAGGCCATATATTTTAAAACCAAATATTTTAAATCACCATTATTTTCTAGGCAAAAATATATATTATATTTTTAAAAAATCGGGGCCGGGCCATGCAGATTAAAATAATGCACAAAGCAACTAAATATTGACAAAATTTTCTAAAAAAATTGGCGTAAGGCTGGCTTTGTTGCTAATAGTTTTTTTTTTTAAATTGCTACTCTACTAGTTAAAGCAAAGCACTAATAGAAACTAATGCATATATACATTGTATATAAATATAAATTTAATTATATAATTTAAAAATATAATTTAAACATTTAAATTAATATTGTGAGACAATGCCCTTAGGTAATCTAACATGGGCCTTGAATAGTAATCTTCGACTATTCTATACACCCGTTGAGCTCTTTCTATTAAAAATCTATGTTTTATATTTTTACATAAAAAAAAACAAGACAGACGCCGTCATATAAATTCTCGGAACCCTTGAATAAAAAAATAGTAAAAAATAATCTTAAAAAAAATTATTCATGTTCCTGATTTGCAATTTCTTATGAATAATTATGATAATATTTTTAAGTTTCCTGTTGTTATTTTTTTTAAAATACGCTGAACAATTAGAAGTAGTAATGTTAAAATTATGAAAATATTTGCTTCTTTATCACCTCTTATTGAGTAGATTTTCCAGATTAAATATCCTTAGCCTCTTATTGAGTAGATTTTCCAGATTAAATATCCTTAGCCTCTTATTGAGTAGATTTTCCAAAACTTTTATTATAATTTTTATTTATTTGTATTTTCATAGAGCAAATCTCAATCAAATATAAATTTTTTTTTATTTCCATTTTATTTTTAGATTTTTTTTTCTCAACAAGAATTATATTTGTCCATATTTTCTATGTTTTATATTTTTACATAAAAAAAAACAAGACAGACGCCGTCATATAAATTCTCGGAACCCTTGAATAAAAAAAAGGAAAAAATAATCTTAAAAAAAATTATTCACGTTCCTGATTTGTAATTGCTTATGAATAATTATGATAATATTTTTAAGTTTCCTGTTGTTATTTTTTTTTAAAATACGCTGAACAATTAGAAGTAGTGATGTTAAAATTATGAAAATATTCCCTTCTTTATCGCCTCTTATTGAGTAGATTTTCCAGATTTAATATCCTTAGCCTCTGAGTATATTTTCCAGATTAAATATCCTTAGCCTCTTATTGAGTAGATTTTCCAAATAAATATCCTTAATATGGACAAATATAATTCTTGTTGAGAAAAAAAAATCTAAAAATAAAATGGAAATAAAAAAAATTTATATTTGATTGAAATTTGCTCTATGAAAATACAAATAAATAAAAATTATAATAAAAGTTTAAACTTACAATTATTTAAGTTTTATTTTATATATAATAGGATTTAAGAAAAATTATCATTAATTTTGAAATCTAAATTTTTTTTAAAGAACTTATAAATTTTAATGGCTGAATTTATTTTAAGCAGTCAAAACAATCAATTACTAATTTTTGAATCATTTATATTTCAACGAGAAAAGCTTATTAACGATACAAGTTATTGGCGTTGTGTTAAATTCCACTTGGAGGAGTGCAATGGAAGGGCAAGGACAAAATCTGGAGTTATATTTCATAATCAAATGCATAATCATGTTCCAGACATTGCCGAAATTGAAGCAAGGAAAGAAATAAATCAAATAAAGGAAAAGGCAACTACCTCGCAAACTCTACCCAATAATATAATAGCGGATATAACAACCAATATATCTACAGCAGCTATGGGGAGAATGCCAAGTTGTTCCTTAATCAAAAGAACAATTCAAAGAAAACGACGCCTAGTAGGAAGGGCGCCTACTGTTCCTGTTAATTTAATTGAACTAATAATCCCTATTGAATATCAAATAAATAATAACGGGCAACAATTTTTATTATATGATAGCGGTCACCATGATCATCGATGCCTAATATTTTCAACAGTGAAAAATATACAGTTCCTATCAACGTGCGACAAATGGTACGCAGATGGCACCTTCAAAACATGCCCTCCACTCTTTCAACAAATCTATACCATCCATGGGATGAAATACGACACGATTATTCCTGCCGTTTATATCCTTATGGCGTCGCGTCGCCATCAAAATTATTTAAATATTTTCGAAAAAATTAAAAATTTCGAAATTCATCTTGATCCTAGGTCTATAATGACAGACTTTGAATTGGCAGCCATATCAGCTTTCAACCAATCTTTTCCGTTGGCTGATAACCGTGGATGTTTCTTCCACATGTCTCAATGCATATGGCGCGCCGTTCAAAAAAATTCAATAATTTGTATGTCATATATGACAGAGCCTAATTTTGCTTTACAAATTAAGATGTTATTATCACTGGCATATGTGCCAGTGGATGACATAATCCATGGATTCGAGGTGCTGGTTGGTTCCGAATTCTATCAAGAAAGGCGGGATATTCTCCAACCTTTGATAGAATACTTCGAGGAGACATGGATAGGCAAAATGATAGCAATGAGATCCCCATTGTTTAGTATTTCATTATGGAATTGCTATGATTCCACTTTGTTGCGAGCTCCAAATACCAACAATGCAGTAGAAGGTTGGCACCGGAGTTTTTCTTCCCATATAAGTTCCCATCATCCAACCATTTGGAAATTTATCAAAAGTATGAAATATATATTATATTAAAATATTTTAAAAATCTTATTTAATTTTTAGCTCTCAAAGATGAAGATAGCCTTAATTGCTATAAATTAGAGCAATATTCTTTGGGACTATTGGCTCCACTCTCAAAGAAATAATATCGGGAAAGAGCTCAACGGGTATATAGAATAGTCGAAGATTACTATTCAAGGCCCATGTTAGATTACCTAAGGGCATTGTCTCACAATATTAATTTAAATGTTTAAATTATATTTTTAAATTATATAATTAAATTTATATTATAATGTATTTATGCATTTGTTATGAATAAAAATTATATATTTTGGATTATGGAACTATTTTGAATTAATTTTATTTGATCGAAAAAATTTGAATAAAGAATTTATGCAATAAAATGTTAAGTTATTAAGATTATTACTAACTTAGTAATTATTTATTTTTGTGAATAACTTAATTTTTCTAACTTATCTTATTGCTTTCCAAGTGATGGTGTAGGACATTGCTTTTTTGGAAATTTTTCTTAAGCTTGATGTTTTCCTTTTCTAAATGTATTTGATATTTCGCATCAAATATATATAATAATAAAATATTCTACATTGTAATTAAAAAAAAACTCAAAGCCTCTTATTGAGTAGATTTTCCAGATTAAATATCCTTAGCCTCTTATTGAGTAGATTTTCCAGATTAAATATCCTTAGCTTCTTATTGAGTAGATTTTCCAAATAAATATCCTTAAATATATTTTTAATAAATTATATTAGATTAAATCTGATTTAATAAGTGCCAAAAAAAAAGAATGGGACGGTAAATGGTCAGAAAGAAAGAAAGAAAGAAAGAAAGAAAGAAAGAAAGACATTTTCTATAAAATCATTCTCTGTAAAATTCTTCAATATAAAATTATTAATCCTTCCCTATAAAATAATTCGCACTAAAACAATTCTCTGTAAAATAATTCTCTGTAAAATAATTCTCTGTAAAATAATTCTCTGTAAAACAATTCTCTGCAAAAATATTCTCTATAAAATCATTCTCTATAAAAGAGATTCTCTATAAAATCATTCTCTCTCTATAAACGACATTCTCTATAATTGTTTTCTCTTTAAAAGTTTCTCTATAAAATAAATTCTCTATAAAATCATTCTCTATAAACGAGATTCTCTACAAAATCATTCTCTGTAAACGAGATTCTCTACAAAATCATTCTCTATAAATGAGATTCTCTATAAACGACATTCTCTATAATTGTTTTCTCTTTAAAAGTTTCTCTATAAAAGTTTCTCTATAAAATAAATTCTCTATAAAATCATTCTCTATAAACGATATTCTTTATAAACGACATTCTCTACAATTGTTTTTTCTATAAAGGTTTCTCTATATTTGCATTCTCTATAAAAGATTCTCTGTAAAGACGGGATACCCATGGGAAATATTTTTAATTAGTATAAATATAAATTTTAGTAAATACATAATTGTAATATTTAACATAATATAATTTTAATATAATATTTAAAGTTAATATATTTAATTTAAATTAATTTGATATAAAGAAAAATATATAAATTGTATTAATATAAATTTTAGTAATATATAATTATAATATTTAATACAAATTTTTGTAAGATCAAACTTTTGAGACGATTACAAAAAGAGAAATTTTTTTTATATATAAAATCTCTCTTTTTTTAAAAAAATATCTAAAATTCGTAGTTTCATTGTTTGTAGATGAAATTAAACGATAGATAATTTTAAGATACAAAAAAAAATAGCAATTAAAATTAAAATATTACGCGCATAAATATAAATATATATTTTTAATTTTTCAAGACATAAAAAATAAAAATAAAGGAAAGAAAATTATAATTTTTATCTAATAACATTTTATAAAACGAAGAAGGAAAAATAGCATCTATCTTGTTAGAATTCAAAAATCTGGAAAGACGAAGAAACATTGTATTGTTATATTTAATATATAATAAGTTATATAAGATCATATTTTTTCATATATACATTATCGAAAAAAATATATATATATTAAATATTTAAAACATAATTGTTTAATTATAACGAAAAATATTTTTTTGTGGTTAAATTCTAAGATATAGTTGCAATGCAAAATATAAATAAAATTAACTAAACAGTTTTTAATATATAATAAATAACTATATTTGATGAACTAGGAGGGAAATAGGAGTGTTTCGAAGAAACATTTGTAGTTCCCCTTTAGGATTTCAAATTGGATTTTTTGTTTAAGACTCGTTTTTGACCCTATCCTTAACGAAATTCTTCTACCCAATTGATTTAAGAACTTTAGGGATTGGGGACCGGGGTTTCCAAGGATGCTAAAAATTAGAGGAATAAATATAAAAGAATTAGGGAGGAAACTATATTTATTAAACTTATTGGTTTCTTGTAGTTCCAAGGGGTCGGTATTTCCGTTAGCCGGAAAGGAGGTAACATAAGAGACGTCCCAGACAAGTCTTGCCGCCGTGCCAAGACGTTAAAGATATGCCGTCGGGGCGCTTACCGTCCGCATTTAGGAGACCTAATGGCTCCAAATGGGGAAATCGGCCGAAATCAAGGCTTTGCCGATTAACCTATTAAGGTCTCAGGAAACGGCCACTGACTTTGAGGCACGAGAAACAATGTCTAGAGAAAGGATCAACCTGTTTGTGACAGGCAGCACAGGTGTCCACAGAAGGGATAAGGCAACCAAGCCTATGGCCAATGGCAGTTTGAAACTCATCGTCTGTGAGTAACGTTTCCTTTTTACCACTCGGAATCGCGTCTAGCCATTCATGGCCGTTAGAGTTTTTTTTTGCGTTTCTGAGCAGTTGAAGGTTAGTTAGATTGGGATACATACAAAGTTTCTCGAACGAGCATTGAAGCATAGGGACCAGGAAGCTCTTTAGATGACAGGAAATTGGCTGCTCGGAGCCTTGGGTGATTAGAGTAAGCCACTCTTGTTTAGCTGAAGATAGGAGGGGATCGTCCAACTCGATAAGCGAGGAAATAGAATCGGCGAAGGATATTCAAGATGAAAGAAAACACGCAATTGCCATAAGGGAGGGGGGTGAAAATCCCAGTCCACCCCGGTAAGCGGGCATAGAGGCGAGGGACCAATTGAAATAGGAAAAATTTAAGCCTAAAAGGGATTCGATAAAATGTTTAATTTTTAATTCGAAGACCTTAAGGAGAGTATTGTACTGGAAAACTGGGGAAGATTTAAATAAATGTAAGAATTTCGGTAGAAAAAGACATTTTTTGGTGAGAAAGAAGAACTGATGCTTAGGGAGATGAGGAAGATTCTTGAGTGAATTGGAAAGGGACTGGATTAAATTGTCAAAGGTTTTTTGACAAAAGGAAGTTGAAAACCCGATAGGGGAACCTAAAAGACAGAGTTCCTCGTGCGGAATGATTGTAAAATCTAAGGGAGGGATAAAATCCTTATTGTTGAGGGAGGAAATTTCACACTTTTTCCTATTTAGGGAAAGACCAATTTTAGAAGCTTCCATTTCAACGTACTCTATGGCCGACATAACTTTGGATAAAGAACCGCCAAAAGAGCCATCGTCATACCATAAATTAAGGTCTAATTTGAAATCAGACTTTAAATTTTTGATCAAATCCTGAATCCCTATAGTAAAGAGCAAGGGACCTAGTGGATCACCTTGCTGAATCCCCTCTCCGGAGGATATGGAAAATTCCCCGAATTTGAGTAACGAAGGAAATCCATAACAGAAATTAAGGAAATTCCAGTATTTTGGGAAATGGTGTAAAAAAAGATGGTAAGAATGCCCTCCTATGGATAGTGTTGAAGGCATTTCTCAAGTCTAACTTGCAGAAAACCTTATCGGCCTCCGTATTTATAAAAATGCGCGCAACATGTGAGGCCACTTCACACCCACCTCTCACTCCAAAGGAACTGGCCTTAGGCCAAATCCTATTTACAATAGCCTTGGCGACTAAACGACGAAAGAATGACCCTATGGCTATGGGTCTAATGCCACCATTCGGTTTGGTCAAAGAAACAAGACGTGCGCCAAAAAGAATAGGACGAATACAAAGAGGAACTTCGCATAAGAGGATATTATTGCAAAGTTCAGTTAATGATTTCAGCAAAGGGTCAATAAAACCACTATCAGAGCATTAAATTAAATCCACAAAAAACCAGGTCTGAAGCCGTCCAACCCACCTGTCGTCGCTTTTTTAATGGACTTTAATTAAGTACTTCATCACAGGTAAAAGGAATAGGGGAAGAGGCATGCGGGTGAATGTTAAAAGGGGAAGCTAGTGGATGTTTTTCAAAAAGTTGTTGAAAGATAGTAACGTTGATAGGTGAAATAGAATCATCGGAAGTCAATATTCGGGCAGCACCGCTAATATCTCCAAGATCTAATTTTTCAGAGATCAATTTACAACGGAAGGAGTTGGGATTTAAAGTTAATTCATCGATAATCGTATTTCCAAAATTGGACACTTTCTCCTTGATTGAGGCAGATAAGTTATTTATTCTATTCTTGGGCTTAACTAAAACTCGAAAGCAGAAACGAATTAAATCTAACCACAAGGGTATTGAGGAGAAATCTGAGTTTAAATTATTCATAAGAGACGTAAAGACCTTGAGATAGACTCTCGAGCGGCTATAGGGATCCTATAAAGAACTGGGGGCTTATGCTAAATAAGGAATAAATCAACAGAGCTTGAGGAACAACAAGCCGGACTGGGGTCATAC